GAAAATATAAAAGATGAGGTTACAACGAGTATAGATACCCAACATGCCAGGTTAAAAATTGCGTGCATCTGTTAAACGACGACAAAATTCAGTAGCCCAAAAAGTCCATAGACGACCCTTTAAAAGTCCCCACAGGTCATCAGTTTAGAGATACCCAGAAATACTGGCCCTAGAAGTATTGCTTTGACTCCATCGTGCTCAACGATACCAAACATGTGTAGCACGTTCGTTGTTTCCATATGTAGGCACACCCGACGTGTGTTTACGTGAAGACGCGCATGTTTGCATGGGTGGCGGACTTTAACCACTTCCGGGCCGCAATACGTCTATAGACGGCAGCCCTTTGAAGTGGTTAAAACAAGAACACGGCTGCTGAGGCAGCCGTGTTCTTGGTACCGCTCTTAACAGCAGGCGATTGCTGTTAATTTAGAAGTAATCCGGCATCTGTACAGGCGCCGGATCGTTTGTACAGTGCGGCGGCGCCCCCCGGGCACCGCTGTCTCCGTGCGGTGCCCAGGAGATGAAGCTGGGGAAGCAGATCTCTGCTTCCTCAGCTTCTTTGGGGTCCCTAGGTGACATTAGGGGTCTGCAAGACCCCTGACGTCTCCATAAAGAGGACCTGTCACACCCTATCTGCTATTAGATAGGGTGCTTGTTAGCTCCCTATGTAATAGCAATAGGGTTAGTGGAAAAAAGATGAAATAAAGTGTTAAAAATGAAAGTAACATAAAAGAAAAATTATAAAATGAAAAAAAAATGTTTTTAAGACCCCCGTCCCCCACAAACGCAAACATGCGTTGGTGCGCCTACGTGCAAAAACAACAATTGCGCTACACATGTTACATATCGCCGCAAACGTCGGAGCGAGAGCAATAATTCTAGCACTGTCAACGACTGTTAGCACTAAACTGATGAGCAGTAAAAGCGTTTAAAATGTTACCTATGGGAAATTTTGGGTATTTACATTTTTGCGGCTTCACGGGCGAAAGCAAGTTTAAGGCTTGACATGTTTGGTATCTATTTACCCGACGTGATCCAGTCTTTCAGATCTTACCAAAAAATTGGGTATTATATTAAGTTTCTGTGCACTAAAAAAAATGTGTTTTTTTTTTAGTTTAAAATGGGCTTTCAGTGCGTTCCAGAGCAGGTAAAAATAGGGCTTGCTGCAGGTTTTTTTTACATGCTCTGGAACTAACGCTGCAGTGTGTGAACTAGAGCCCACAATACCATTGGAATACATTGGACGCAGTTTTGATCCGGTCTGTAACTGCTCTGCACATGGCACGCGATTGGTGTGAACAAGGCCTTACACTCTCAATAAGCTATTGAAGTGCAGATCGCACTTCAATAGCTAATAGCTGGGCTTCAGGAGCCCAGCACTGACAGCTATGGGACCAGAAGTGATGCAATCTGCATTGCTCCCGGTCCCATAGAACGGGCATGGGATCAACGAACGGAGGTTCGTCCATCTCCTCCCCAGCTTCCCGCCGACACCAAAAAAGCTGGTCCGGGCCCATAGGAAGGGCATCAGAGCCCGGGAAATACGGCGGGGGTGTCGGCTCAGACCCCTTCACCGGCCCGTAGAAGCGAACTGGCGGCAGCTGAGCCGCCAGATCGCTTCTACTGTAAAGCTGACAGTTTAAACAGAGCTTTTGCCGCCAGGAGTCTGTTTAAACAGCCCCTATGCCAGCGTTGCTGGTCGTGAAGGGGTTAAACAGCAGTGGAAAGGATTCCAGAATTTTTTGTCTAGGCATTCCTGCTTCCAGAGGAGACTGAGGAGACAGAAGCTGTGCAAGTCAATACTCTAGGTTTCTGGCCATACAAGTGGAAGCTAAAGCAGGCTTCAAATTAGCTTGAGAAGATTCTCAAGACCTATAAGGCCCCATTCACACTGAGCGACATGAAAATTGCACGATATTTTGAGCGATATTGCGCAACGAGCGATATTGAGCGACTTGTCACGCGACATCGCGCAACTTTTTCCTATTGGGCTGTATGCAATCAGGAGCAATATCGCTCAAAATCGCTCGAAATAAAAAGCTCAGTGGTGAATAAATACCACCAAAAGAAAGCTCTATCTGTCCTCCAAAAAAGGGTATAAAATTAATTTCAGTACAGCGCTGCATGACGGAATAAATGTCAGTCAAAGTACCGCAGCGCTGAATACTGAAAAATGGCCTGGATGGGAAGGGGGTTTAACACCGCGGATGTCAACTGGAAAGAAGGTCCATCCTTTTGTCCATAGATTCTTTCCAGGACACCTCCATCCTCAAACAACAGATCCGTAGACCTGGAAACCTGAGAAAAAGACGCATCCTCTTTAGGCAGCTTGTTCCAAAGAAGAGCAGGATCCTCACTAAAGCGAAACCTTCATTTTGAACCGCAGGAAAAGAAAGGCTTCCTTTCAGGATAGGCCCATTCTCTGATAATGGTCTCAGAAAGCAAGCTGTGGACCGGAAAGACATGATTCCTTTCCACCACAAGACCTTTATACATCTGGTCATAAAGATAAATACTTGCCCTGCTCCTGAATGTCTAAAGGAGCAGGGCATCATAAATGGCTTTGAGGAGATCATCAATGTCTTTCAGTGACAACTTGTACCTTGAAGACTAGGGATGCACCGATATATCGGCCGCCGAAACATATCGGCCGAAAATTGCACTTTTGGCATAATGCCGAAAGAGCCATGTTTCGGCGCATCCCTGGTTTCTTTTATCCCCGCTGGGCGCTGCTCTGTGTTCCAGCGGGGAGAAAAGAAAGTGACAGCCGGCCGAGCACTGCAGGACCAGAGCACTGTGAGCCGCCGGCGTCTCTCCTCCCACACCGCTCAGCCGCCTATCACAGTCCGGCAGAGCGGTGTGGGGGCGGAGGGAGACAGCGCTGTCACAGGAGGCTGAGCTTTCCTCTCTACACCGCTCGATCAGCCTCCAAAATGAATAAAAATATAAAAAATAAAATATTTTTTAAAAATTGAAAAAAATAAAAAAACATTTTTGGTATCGGTTTCGGCCTGACATTTTTTTTTTATTTCGGTTTTAAAATTTTCATTTCGGTGCACCTCTATTGAAGACCTAGCATATCAGCCCTGCGAGGTTCCCTCCCCAGGGGAATCAGTCTCACTCAGCCAGCAAATTATTATCTTCCTCCTCTGTTACCGAATCTTTAACAACCTCGTGGCTCAGGGGCCTGAGGTCTAAAAGTAAGGCTCTGAAAGACTGAAAAGTAGATTCCTCCCTTAAAAAGACAATTCCTCCTTTAAACCAGCTACAAGTTCCTTACAAGAATCAGAGGATTCTTCCTGAACCAACATTTAAATGCATTTCTGGCATAGCAGTTTGCTCCAGGTGCTACTTAGCTTAATACTGCAAGAAGCGCACTCTTTTAGGAGGAGGTTTGATTTTTTTTCTCAGGAGCCTGGGCCTAGAAACAAAATACATAGAAAAGAAAGCTTTCAGAATCTTCAGAGGGTAAAAAGGCTCCACTGTGCACAACAACCCTTCCCCCGAGATTGTGCCTACCACCAAACATGGAATGTGAACTAGGAAAAAAGTGGAAGTGCAGAAGGAAATCTGGCTGAAAAGACTTCCTCCACACTTCCAGCCCCAGCTAGGTAAGAAGCAAGATGCCACTGCAAAGCTCTCTTACCTGAGCAGAACTAGTGCCGCCAGAGCCTGCCATTCCAATCGCCACCTCCTCAGAAGCAATCATGATGCAGAGAGTGCAGCGGAGATTCTTGCAGGAGCCATCACAGCTGCTTTTCCTGATACGGATATAACGCCCATGCTGGCGGACCAGAAGTGATGTCACCGGAAGCCCACCCCCTCTCCCTGCTTTCCATGGACTGAAACCATTGGCCAAACACTTCCGCCTCTAGCCCCGCCCACACAGGAAGCAATGTATTGGCTCATCCTGGCGCTGGAAAGGAGGAAGAGAAGATGGCCACTGCCACCACCATGCAATCTCCAACCTAGGGCAACACCTAGAAGTGGCCTCAGCCCACACCGAGCCCAGAGGAGAAGAGGAAGGCCCCAGAGTATCCAGGCCCGGATTTCCCACAAGGCCACCGAGGCCCGGCCTCGGGGCGGCAGCGGAAGTATCCCTACCACTGCTAGGAGAGAAGAGGTAAGGGGAAAAACCAGGCCCAGAACAGCTCAAGAAAGGTTTCCCCATAATAGCAAGAGTTCCAACATGTCTGTTTTGTCCAGAGGAGAAAACAGGAATACTGACGGAGTATCCGAGGGACCGCCTTTTAAAGGCCTCACGTGTTTGTGTTTCCTACCTCTGGGGTGGAGTCATGCTCTCTCTCTCATGTGCTGTCCTGGAAAGATGACTAGAGAAAATGCACTTACCATGAAGTGACTTCATTAAGACATATGACCACGATAAATCATCCAAGGGAACGCCAGGTCATGCTAAGAGTTGCTAAAGCTCTCTCACTCACAACTCAGGAGTTAATGGCAAAAATAGAGGGTACATACCTAAATGAATAATGTGAGGTGGACGCTAAAAGGACCAAATGGCAGGCACATACAAAAAAAGTCTCAAGCTGGAAAGAAAAGGGGACCTGGAGTTTCTTTGGAGGATTTATATTGGCAATATGCCCTGATCCAAGTCATTCTGTTGTACCGATAGAGAGTTCATATGCTGTACTCAAAGTCCAATCTGGCAGGGATCTGCAGCAGTTTATTATATTGAAAACTGCCCCGATCCCTTTGTTAATTGGACACGGACCTCACACCAGTTTCTATTCCACTCTGTAGTGAGTTGGCAAAGCTGCATTTGAGAAGAAGCTTGCAGATTGCCTATAACATCTAATGCCTTTATTTGTTGAACCTTCGACTATGAACAAGCATGTGGATCCAGATTTCTGAGTTCATTTGCAGCCTGTACCTCAAGATTATCAAAATCTGGGTTACAGTAAGTATATTACAAAGGTGGACAAGGATCTAAATGTACCAAAGTATGTGCTCAATAGGAAAAATGTACCATCTACACTTACCGACTCCCTGAAACCATCATATTTGTACACATGACCTGCACGTGTTGAAAGTCTGATGCCATATCCAAGTGCCACACGACGCCAGATTCCTTCTGACAAGTCAGCTGCTGCAATATTGTCAACTTTTCCAGTTTTGCTATTTTTGTACATAAGGCCTGCCTTGGATAAACGTAGGCGTCCATCATTCTGTTAAATAAGACAAGGAAATGCAACACAGGACAAACATTAAGGCTTGCTCACATTAACTATGGTAACCCTTTTGCTGCTAGTCCAATTTTTTTGTATTCCTCTCACTCTGGCATGCATGGCTATAACCAATATGTTTTACACCATTTACATTCAATAGCGCCTCCTAGGTGCGCATTTATTTATTTTCACATAACATTTTACCCAGGAGAAATGGCAACTGTACTAAAGATATCCTCATTAATTTCAGTGCTAAATAATCCAATGACGACAGATAAAACGTAGGCCTGTACAGAAATAAATATTTGCCCAACACTGCTGACCTCCTAAAAAAGTGCCTAGCTGTCTCTAACTTCAATATCTTCAGCCACTGACTTAAAATTAGCATTTGACTTAAAAAGTTAGAGCTTCAAACATACACATTTGGTCTACATCAGTGGCTCAAAGTACTGAAGCAATTGGACCAGGATGACAGCCAAGCAACCAGTGTTTACAAAAAGAGAAATCCCTGTTGACAGCATATGATCTCTTTTTATATAGTGGTTCTTACTAGGATTGCATTCTCTTGAAACATAATTATGTGTTCAAGGAGAACTATGGGGTCAGTGGTTTTCCCATAGTTCTCCTAAGGGTCACGGGAGGACACAAACTAGTGTCCCCCCCGTGACCCAAAGCTCAGTATACCGCGAGCTACAGCTATCTGCAGGGACAGGATCAAGAAGTGAGCGACAGTATGTATTCGCTCATTTCCCGATCTATTGAGCCGACGAGTGACAGTTTCATTGTCACATGTCGGCTCGAACTATGAGGTTGAGTGATTTTCACTCACCTTCTCCTTTAAGTTATATTCACCCGAGCCACGATCCCGGCTTGCTCTTAGGTCCCTGGAACCTCCCCC